TCGCATCCAGCTCCTGCCAGCCATCTTGCGCAAATCATCGCTCCACCGCGCCTGAGGACGTCCTACACTACGTTTGCCGAGACGCGGTCTCCACTCAAGAACTCGTTTACCCCAACGGTTATCGGTTCTGCGGCTAATATGGCCAGCCCACTGCCACTTCAGCTTGCTAATCCGGTGGGCTATGTCGATAACCTTGGTTCTCTGCCGGATCACCTCATTTTTGATTCGATCCCGCAGAGAAACGCCGAGCATAGCCCTTTCCATAGCGCGCTGAGCGACCTTCAACTTGTGGACCAGCCGTGCCGTCAGTGTCCACGTTTCGGCTCCGTATGTCATAACGGGTAGGACGCACTGATTAAAGACTTTTGTCTTTAGGCACTGCGGGATCGACGATGTAAAGACCTGACGTAGTTTCCCAAACGCTGCCCAACCTAGCCGAACTCTTTCATTTACCGCGCTCTCGAAGTTGTTTCTACCTAACTGCAATGTTTGCCCGAGGTATACATATTTTGGAACAATTCCGAGAACGGCACCGCATACTGCAATCGGTTCCGGTAGTACGTGTTCGTTGAACATGACCTTGGTTTTATCCAAGTTCATCCGTAGGCCGATGCGCATAGAAGAGTCAGCCAGGTCATTCAGCATCTGTTGTAGGTCCTGCAGATTTTCTGCCATGATGACGATGTCGTCAGCAAATCTCAAGTGAGAGATGTACTCGCCATTGATGTTGATGCCACGTCCTTTCCAGTTCAGCGTCTTAAACATATCCTCCATTGCATTAGTAAACAATTTCGGAGACATAACGTCTCCTTGTCTCACTCCTCGATGCAACGGTATAGGACTTGTTTGTTGATTCTGTACTTGGACGGTCATGGTGGCGGCCTCATAAATACATCTTATCACTTGGATGTATCGCCAATCGACTTGGCATCGCTGCAGGGACTCCAGAACGGACCAGATCTCAATCGAGTCAAAGGCCTTCTCATAGTCCACAAATGCTAGACACAGGGGCTGATTATACTCTTCAGTCTTCTGTATAATCTGCCGCACTGTGTGGATGTGGTCTATGGTGCCGTATCCACTCCGAAACCCAGCCTGCTCCGGTGGTTGGAATTCGTCAAGTCTTTGCGCAAGACGGTTCGTGACTACTCTAGAAAACAGCTTATAGACGTGGCTTAGAAGGGAAATGGGTCGATAGTTCTTCAGCAGGGTTTTGTCTCCCTTTTTGAAGAACAGGATGACAACACTCCTACTCCACGCCTGCGGAGTTCTCCCTTCGAAGAGGACAGCATTAAAAAGCTTTTGGAGCTCCTTCAGTACCGGTTTACCTCCTGCTTTTAATAATTCAGTTGTAATGCCATCCTCTCCAGGGGCTTTTCCATTTTTAAGCCGTCTCAGAGCGATCTCGATTTCGCCAATGCTGACTTCTGGCAGATCTTCGGTGTAGTGGCGTGTTAATGTGGCTCTAGAATCCTCATTTCCGGGATCAGGTCGAGATGCATGCGAAGCGTATAACCGGGCATAGAAATTTTCCACCTCCGAGAGGACCGCTGGCTTCGAAGCAACGACTTCCCCGCTTGCTGTGGTCAACTTAGTCAAGTGGCTTCTTCCAAGAGATTGTACGAATACTTTTGACCCCCTGTTTTGCTCGATCGCTCTTTCTATAGCGTGAGTGTTGGAGCACCGGAGGTCATATCGTACGCGTTTGCTGATCTCCTGGTTTTGAGCACGTTTTCCTGACGAAGTGACAGGTGGGTTTTCACGTCGTTTCTTCATTAGGCCCAAAGTTCTATCGGAGAGCTTAGACTTCCCGCCCTTACGCTGCATGCTACAAAATTTCGTACCTTCTTCCCTGAGTATTCGAACCACATTTTCAAGGTTCTCGTCAACGTCAATTGTGGTTTCCATGGCAGCGAATCGGTTCTCAAGATTTGACTGAAACGTTTCAGATTCCATCATGGTTTGGAGAGGAGTAGGTCGGAGCCTGGCCTTCATCAAGCGGACACGTTCAGCTTTGAAGTTGATATTCAGAGAGCCTCGGACAAGTCGGTGATCGCTGCCGGTGTTAAACCTATTGATCACGGAGACATCTCTGAATACGTGCTTTTTGTCCGTTATAATGAAGTCGATCTCATTTTTTGTCACATTATCGGGGCTTTGCCACGTCCACTTCCTTTGGAGCTGTTTCTTAAAGAACGAGTTCATAAGGAAGAGCCCCTCCCGTTCGAGGAAGTTAACGAGCATTTGCCCCCTATCATTCCTGCTTCCAAATCCATGGGATCCTACTACCGATTCGCCGCAATTTTGTACTCCCACTTTAGCGTTAAAGTCCCCCATAACAACGCTGTAGTGGGTCTTAGTAGTGAAGTGGAGTGCCCTCGATATATCATCGTACATATTCTCCAATTCATCGTCCGAGTGTGTCGAGGTCGGTGCGTACACTTGAACAACCTTGAGGCTATACCTCTTAGTGAGCTTTACAATCAGGTACGCCACCCTGTTCGACACACTGGAAATTTCTACAACGTTGTCAGAAAGGGACTTATTGACAAGAAACCCAACGCCACCTTGGGATTGTTGGTCTCCCTCGCGGAAGTACATTAGGTGGCCTGATTCGAGGGTTATGGTATCCTCCCCCTCTCTTCGGACTTCACACAATCCCAATATGTGCCACCTAATCTTTCCAAGCTCCACCTCAAGTTGAGCCAGATGCGAGTCAAGCCGTAGCGTGCGTCCGTTGTACGTCGCCAGGGTCAGTCGGTTGTCGTGGCCTCCCGTAGCCCGGAGATTCTTAGCACCCCCTGCCTCGCCGTTACCATGGTCGCCACCATGACCAGGAATAGCGAGGCCGCCGGGAACTAGGGGCCGTGGCCTTTTGTGCCTTTTCATTTGGGGGATATGCCCATAATCGCCACGCTGGGCAAGCGGGTTGGCGATCGCAATATGGTCCAGTTCTGTGGCCCGCACAAGAAGACGCTGCTGCCCATCTCCTTGGGTTAAATTTCCCTTAGTCGCCTCTTACGACACCCACGGGATGAAAAGGGGTAGTACAATTCTTTACCGGTACTACACGGCGTTCCTGATATGACGCCCAAATAGATCGTCCATATCGGAGGACTATCTTTAAAATAACACTGCAAGCGTGTATACCAACGTGGATTTGTTCCATTTTATCACTTTTCATACGAAAATATAACGAGATGAGCGTGATATGATCGGATGTCTTTACTCCTCGGCGATCGGAAACAGAATGTCTGCCAAAATGGCGGCAACTTGGTTTTTATTAACGAACTGTCAAAGTCAGTGTCACCATTCTAATAAAATTAAAAGTATCGATGATCACGCTCTCTTTACAATCGAGTAATTAAGTAATCGAGTAACTAGCAATTAAAATAAAAGAAACTAAATCAAACGATCTTCGTAATGATGATGCGACATATATTTAAATTGCCTATTAATTGGTCTGTTTCATAAATTGATTATGTTATTGTGATAGATTTGATGCGATTTTCGAATTAATTTCAAATTTAAAAAATAATGACAGAGCCAGCACTTTATAAGTCGATATCAGTAGGAAAATCGGGCCAGAAGTATGTAGTTTTAAAATACATCAGTTTTATATACCTATTAACTTTGTTACAGCATACAATGTGAGTTATAGAGTCATCTAAAGAATGCTAATGTGTTGGATTTGTCAAAATACACACACTTCATTCTTAAATTGTTATTTACAATAATATAAAAAATTTTCTTTTCTCTAAATATAATTTATTATATAACAATTATACAGTTTAGTCTATGTTATTAGTGTTAGCTTTTTTTTGTCTTAGAACTCCATATTGTCAAAATCTAACCAAATTGCCATCAAGTGAGTTGTTTTACAATATTTTGAATATTTCAGGTCGTAGGACGAGAAACAGTGCTAGCAGCTGCCCATACACGGGAGCTAAGATGTGGAAGGAGATTGGTTTCCGGACTATTCTCGCGACCGAGATTACCACTCGGTTATTCGTATGTGGCAACGGTGCCGCGTGGCGCATGTCGGCTTAACGTCTCTGAGATTATGCCCAGCGAAAATTACATAGGTTGGTTTTAAATAGTCACAATCTCTTTTATAGACGTGAAGCATAATAAAGCCTTAGGAAGTTAACCTTTATTTAATCTATACTAATATTATAAAAAGAAAGATTCGGTTATTTGATTGCATCGGATAGGTTTCAAAACTACTGGACTGAATTGACTGAAAAAATATTTTACAAGGGAAGCTACACTTTATGCGGGTGGTACAGGCTTTAATTCACGCTAGCTAAGTTCTGAGAAAACAGCTAAAATATAAAATAAATACAATGATGTTTGATTGATTGGAAATCAGATAGATGAAAGTGAGTGTTTGTCATCAGCTCTATTTCAATTATTTTGTTTTGGTTGTGCAACCTATAAAAGTTATCTAGTTCGCTTACAATAATAAAGATTACGAAAATTAACCTAAATATCAAATACTAGACTATTCGAATGACCTTTTGACAGCGGCAAATGAGCCGCAAAACGGCTTTAAACACTTATCAATCAGCATTGTTGACGGGGATGGCTGTAAATCATTCGCGATCGCGCTCAATAGCAACACCCACGTTGTTTTGTGCTGATATGAATAGATCGACTCACCTTGCCTTTGAACATGCCACAAAGTCCCATTTAGAATTAGTTCAAAATACTACTGTCAGGATTAACAATGTGTCAATGGGTGTTATTAATGCTCCACTCTTTGTCGATATTGTAAAGTTTTTTGGGAACGACCGAGAATTGGATGAGTAATTTGTAATAATAAGACTAATGTTGTAGAACCGTATTATGAAATCGAGTTGACTAATATTCAATACGATTATTGTCAAGCCATCACAAAATAAATTAATTTCCTGCCCGACATTGAACTCAAAACTTTGCTATACGTTAATACTCTGATCTTGGTTACAGCTTTGAAGATATCAAATAGCTCATATATAATGAATGGCGAATTCGCCGTAAGTGCACCTGGCACGTATGATGCAGCCGGTGCAAGATTTGTATACTCAAGGGTTGCTGGGTTGGACAACGTTTTTGCAATTGGTCCAATACAACATTCCATCGACATAATGGTTTGAAAATTCATTAATCTGGCTAAATTTACTTATAGAAATGAAAAATGATAAAGCTTTCTATTTTTGTGTTGTTGATTGTTTTATAATTTATAGTACCTACCCAATCTAATTATTATTGGCACGTTCGTGCTGGCTTGTTAAATCTATTTCAGGATTCCGATTTTGGGATTATTTATTGTGACTTAAGTAATCAAAAAATTACAGTCATTAATTGGAATTTTTCTATTTTAGATATTATACACCGAACCAAATCCTAGTATCAAATATGAATATTTCACTGACTCACTTCCAAATGAAATAGAAACTGAATCTGTTACTAAGGCGAATGTTCCTGTGTCTGTGCTTCCTTTTCCCACAAAGCATATTAGAAGACATCATAGTTTTGACCCTTACCCCAGACCTAGCGTGGGAATACCTAGATATCCTGATGTAAAGTCCAATATACCCAAAGAAACAAGTGATGAAGATGATTTGGAAGAAAATATTGTGGGGACGCGAAAATTTTTGTGGAAAATATCTTCCTATACTCAGTGTACGAGGGGTTGTGGAGGAGGAATTCAGGTATTTTTTTATTTACATAGGTACCTAAATATTCAACACTAAACGCCATAATGATACCTGCCCCCTAATTGTCTAATTTTAAATCTATTGCAATCGCTTTCAGTTTGAAAGGTGTTGCACAACCATTGCTGCATAATACAAATACTTTTATTTCAACTGTCTTCAGAAACAAGCAATGGTTGTGCAACACCTTTCAAACTGAAAGCGATTGCAATAGATTTAAAATTAGACAATTAGGGGGCTGGTTCTTGAATCGCCACTCAGAAAAATGTGAAAATATATATTTTTTTGTGATTCGAGCGCGTTACTACAGAAAAACTTGAGAAGAAATCAAATAACCAGATACGCGTTAATATAAAGTTCTGAATCATAAATGTATGAACTATTTTCAGTTAGGCAAATATCGCTGTATAGAAATATCGGGTGGCATCGAGAAAGAAGTCTCGCCAGTCCACTGTACTGGACCGACCCCAGTTGGTCGAAGACGTAGATGTAATAACATCCCTTGCCCACCAAGATGGCGGGCTGCAGCTTGGTCGTCATGCCCTCAATGTGGACCAGCCACTAGAACTAGAAATGTGGGATGTGTTCAGGATCACTTTAGGGGTATCACAAAGGTATGAAAATCCGCTTCAGTATTGTTCATAATATTGTTTTAAAATGTAAATCTGACTCTGCAAGGTGGAACTGTACATAATATAAAACAAGTTAATTTATTTTTTTAGGTTAGCGATCAAAAGTGTCCCGATCCTAAACCTATTACTTCTGAGTTATGTAACATTCCTGATTGTGTGGAGTCAGCACATGTGGACTCACGCGTGATTCGAACCCGGGAACATACTGACACTTTCCGTGATGGACCTGTGTATACTGTACCAGTGAATAGTTCCGATTTCGACGTCGGACCGGAGTATACAGTCAGTAATACCGCAGGGTGGCTCTACACAGATTGGTCTGAGGTAAGTATGTTGAATATCATAAAATATGTCAATAGAAATTATAATATTTTCGTGGTTCAAACTTTTTATTTAGAGTGCATTCATTTATAAATAATTCACCTTGGTAATCTTGTAAAAATATTTATCTTTTCTCAAAGGTTCTTTCTTTTCTTCCTTCAAATATCATTAAAGTTCCCAATTCTAGCTCTAATAAGACAAAACCTATAATAAGTAAACTTTCATAATTTTAAGGAGATTTACTTTCCGTGTGTGACAAGTCCTAAGTAACAAAGTCCTATATTAGTCTACTTAAATTTTGCATCTGTGAATTGTAATATTAACAATAATGAATTATCTATCTATTTAATACTTATCGATCAGATATATTTTATCGTTCTTTAAATATTAGTTCCTTACATATAACATTGGTGTTTGCTATGAAAGGAACAAAAAGTCGAATATTTTTAAATGTAATGTATTTATTCAATCAAAGTATGAACCATTGTTATCAAAGTATTAACCATTTGCCATCTCATAGGTAGTTCATTATCCCCTTACTAAAAAAACCATTCGGATGGGAATCAATAAAATATTTGTAGGCTATTTGCACAGCCCCATCGGAGTTGATTTTTTTTCCGCTGCAAGAAGATAACCATTTTTGTCTGCTAAAAAATGGTTCGGGGAGTACAGTGGATGTCTTTATTGACCAATATAAAGATGGTACAAAAGGCGGACTGTATGTAGTTACAGTAGTTATATAGTTACAGTTACAGTGGTTAATTTTAAAAAAATAATAAATATTCTTATATTAACTGGAATTATTGCAAAAAATTAGATAATTTTTTATAGTTTTTGGTGGCAAACCGTCAAAAGAAAAGATCAATATACCAATAGGTTTTATTTCCTTTATTATTTTTTTTTAAAGAAGAATGCCCAGGGTTTATTACTTCTCATAACATTCCTAGAGTTCTGTGTCTTTTTAATAATTTGAAACCACTTATTTTTAGTGTATAGGCTGGTGTGTTGGTGGTGGGATTCAAACCCGCCGTGTTCGTTGTGGTGATCCCGCGGGCTGCGTCAATATAATGCCTGAAGTTTCCAGATCCTGCACTTTGAAGGTTACTTGTGAACCTCACGACGGTCGTTGGTTTACAGGTATATGTAGTTCACTATGTATTTATCTCTGGAAATATTTTTGTATACAGTATTTCCTCTTGATAAGATAGCACATGATTAAGTGATAACGATATGAAATCAACAATAATTTTTATGTGTTTGTCAAAAATTAAAAGTACCATCACATTTAACAAAAAACTATCGAATCGCTGATAATCTAAACATACAAGCAATATAGTAAAAACAAACTTTTATTCTTTTTTTGTAATAACATATAATAGATACTATATATACCCATTCTGAAATATCATTCGCACGAATTGCTTTAATATAAACAACCTATAGCGATGTAGAAGATGTTATCGCAAATGTGTCATTGTGATTTTGTATCAGGGGAATGGTCACAATGTTCATCGACTTGCGGCGGCAAGCAAATCCGAGGAGTATTATGCATCGGTGGTAGCGGTCGCCACCTACGAGATACAGCCTGTAAAACCCAGCGGCCAGACCACGTGAGGAATTGTGGAGACTCTTGTCCTTCAAGTTGGTATACCAGCGATTGGGACCAGGCAAGTTGTCGAGAATAAATTAAAAATAACTAAAAAAGGAACAGCGTAACATCGATTTTCTCCAATCGCTTTCCCACAAAATTTTAGCACACTGTCGGCAGAATGAGCAGTAGCAATTATTTAATATTTTTATATAACATTTCTATTTATTGATTATATTTTATAAGCTAAAAGTAAGAAGGCAAAGTGCAAAATTCTTAGGTATGAACATACTCAAATCTTGTTTGAAGATTTTCCAGCATCACGCTTTCAATGCTAGTAAAAATCGTCTTAAATACAACAATTCTAAATTCAAGATTAAAGATTATCTTACCACAAATTTCTATTTTAACCTAGCCCACCAATTTTCTCAAATTACAATAATTTCAACACATAATATGTCAAATTGAGCTTATTTTGATTTGGACATACAATTTTTGACGATATCACTATTCTGTTAATATATACGAACCAAAAACATATTGTTTAGAATTTACTCTTGAATATTAAAAGAATAGGTAGATAGATAAATTATAATACTCTTACTTTTTTCAAATATTAGTGTTTGGGCAACTGTTCCTCTGGTGGCGTGGGTATCCAGCGCCGATCTGTAATTTGCATGAAGCACAACAACGAGTCTGCTGAAGATTCAGATTGCCAGGGTCCAAAGCCTGTAACTCAAAGAACCTGCGAGCACAAATGCGTGGTGCTCGATCACCTACCACCGGATATTCCTATAGGTACTGTTGTCTTTGTCTTACTTAGATTGCTATGATTTGATCGATTTAGGGGTATAACGTTTTCTATAATTACCAAAGTTTTAATGACGTTCAATATTAATACACTGAATATTAAGTTGAAAATTGATTCTGTAAATTTGACAGTTCAATAACACAGGAAATAGTTCAGAATTGGTTACAAAGTATAATAGTTACATAAGGATTTTGATTTAAACAATTTGAAAGTAATTGGACGTTGAAAGCAATTTATGTAAACAATTTAGTTTTTGTAACTTTCGGTTTCAATATTAATATATTTTTCAATATTAATACACTTAGTAGTAATTATATTAAAACTAGATTAGACGTATTTTAATTTAAAACTGGATTGGTTACTTAAATGTTGATAGAAATACGCTCACCGACAGCGAAAGTAACAAGTGATTTAAATTTTAATACATTGAAAATTAAGTTCAAAATTTACTGTGTAAATTTTACAGTTTAATAACATAGGAAAAAATTAAGAATAGGTTATAAAGTATAATTGTTACATAAGGATTTTGATTATTTAAATTTTTTGCTATGATAAAAAATCAAGTATTTTTTGTAAGTTACATTTTGTCAAATCGATTTTTTCTTGCAGAATCTCATAAAGTGATCACTACACCCACTCCCACAACTGTCATCACTACATCAACAAAAAATGTATTGCTAGGTATTGACACATGATTTTTTTATTTATTATAACTACCCAAATAATTCATTCGATTAAACTAATGAATTTAACAGAAAGTTAAAGTTTATTGATCAGGAAATACTCTAGATTTTTATAGCTTTATTCATATAGAACATATTATCTTTTATGTTGTATATCCTTTTATTTATTTTACACAGCAATAAATTCTTCAATAAGTTCTTGAAATAATAAAAATAAATGTCACATAACTTTGCTCAGATTCCAGATTCTACACTGACCCGACTGAAAATCGAACTCTGAATCTTAGAGACGTTAGAAGGCTTGAAAGGCCATGAATTTAAGTCTTCTTAGTATATCAAACTTGATCATCATCATTATCACCAGCCTATTTATATCGAAATTGGATCGAATCGGATAGGGAGAATGTATCATGTGGTAACAGTGCGGATTGGTGGGTATTAACGACTATAGATGCAGCCGAGACCAACAACTTAACATACCTTCTGAAGCACGAGGAGTTCCATATAGTAAACTGTTTATTACCTATCCTGTTACTGTCCATTGCGAAAAGTTGGTTAAGAAACGTATCGCAGCTAGCCACTGTACCATCGAGCTCCTTAGCCTCCTCAGTATATTAAACTTCATACTTTTCATTTATTTTGGACTTGCTTTCGCCAGCGGCTTCGCCCGCGTGGACCCTAGGGAAATGTTAAGTGAGATAAAAAGTCCTCTATATATCCTATTATGTAAGTCAGCTAATACCCTATCTGTATACCAAATTTCATCAAAATCCGTTCAGTAGTTTCGGCGTGATTGACCGACAAACATTCAAACATCCAAACAAAGAAACTTTCACATTTATAATATTAATAGGATACTGTATAATCCTTATTTTCTGTTCATAATCCTGTGATTTTTTAAGGTATTATGTTAATAACTGTATTTAAATTTTTAATTTCAGGTTGCGAAGATAAACTTAGTAATTGTGCACTCGCTGTCCAAGCACGGCTATGTCATTACAATTATTACGTACAAAATTGCTGTGACTCTTGTACTGGTAGATAAAAATATATCTCTGTCATAACTATAGTACAGCAGTACACTTCTGGGATATTCGAGCAAGTTTTACTTCACTATTTTTTAAGACCAAGCATTGAAGTGTATTTGTAATATGTAGCGGATGATGTATTAATTTGCAAAAAGTAGTAACATTAAATAGAATTTAATAAAAATAATTTTGGTTATTTTTAAACAATACTTTTTGCATATTACGGTTATAGCAATGACGATTATATAATAAAATAATATAATGTTAAGGTTGATTATTATTTCAGCATCTTATTCTATGTAATCAATATGATTAGGGGAGACCAACTGGATTTTAAATAAAAGTGAGTTTAAATAACCCTGCTTACTCGAAATCTAAAAACCGTAAGCAAGGTTGTTTCAATTCTAAATAAAAAATAAATATAAATTGTAAATAAACAAATGAAAGATAAAATAAATTAAGAAAAATTAGTTTCATTTTATAAACGGCGCGTGGCGGAGAGAGTCAAAGTGAATTTCCACTAGGATATCAAAAAATACGATTACCGTAAATGTAACCAGTAATCAGAAATACATTTTTCTCATATTTATCTTCTATTAACTTACTGTGAGTTTAGTAAAGTCATAATTACTGTAGCAGAATATTTATCTAGAAGAAGAAAATATGAGATGTAATAAGATATAATATACATTCAATTACATATATAACTACGAAATATTATCAGATAATTGTACCTTCATCTTATAATAATCATCACTAGCCTATTAAATTCCCTTTGCTGGGGCTCAGGCCTTCCCGTTGGATGGAATCGTATCAAATCAAAAAGGTAGGAAGCCATGACCCACTACGCGGACCCAGTGTGGATTGATGGTACCTATCAAGATTGCAGATGCAGCCGCGACCAACGAATTTTTAACGTGTCTTCTGAAGAATGGAGGATCTCGAGATAATACATTTATGGTCACCCATCTATAACCGGTCAATGCAAAAGTTGCTTAACAACTTTACAGCAGACCGAGCGCGCTAACTACTGCGCCACAAAACTCCTCTATTATTTAGCTTTATCTATCTGGTTATTAAAAAAGGAAATAGAAAGAAAATCTATCCGTTAAATAAATAATTTATTATTAAAAATCTCAACAAATTTGAATACAATCTTAAGTATATCTTACAACTGTGTATGTACAGTCTCATAGAAATATAAGTTTTAATTATTTATTAAATATTACAATTTTTGATAAAAATGTCTTCAACTTTTGAATTAAGGTTGAAAATTGAGACAAGGTCTTACAAAAACGGTCAAATTTTAAATGAATTTTTGAAATCAACGAATAAAACATATTGATAATACTTTAAAACACAACGTTTTCAAGGAAATAAATTGCGTTAAATGTAATGATACCAAGACAAAATGGAAGTTGTAAGCTACAACTTGCACTTGTTAATACATTTTGTTTGAACATAATTTTCTAAATAAATTTACGATGACAACTTTGAACATTTTTTTCTTAAAGCTTTTTTTAAGATTCTATAGTTATCTTGTTAAAAGAGACAATATATCTATTTATTGTTCTTAAACTTAGATTCTTCAACTCTAGAATTTTAAGTTTTTTAATAGAGGATTGTATGTGTGTGACGCAATAGTGAACTTTGTTGAATAAAACCTAGTAACAAGTAATATTTTAAACAAATAAATAATATTTATTATTTTTGTGACTTTTGGCAATGCCGATACGGTTTTAATGAGATATAATATAGCTTTTTGAACGTTAAAATGAATCTATATGCGAAAAGCTAATACTAACCGGCAGCATGTGTTTTGAAATAATCTACATTAACGGCCGGTATCTGAATTGAGAAAAGAACAAAATATCAACTGTTTACTCTCAATAACTTAAGTTTTTGACAAGGCATAAAGGCCTAGATTTATCAAACTGCAGTTGATAGCAGTTTCATTAAAAAAACTAAAAAGTCAGAAACAAAAACCTGTTTAAGTGACGTTTAAGTACAGTTTGAGACGTTCTTAATTTTAAATTCTCAATTCAGAAACCGGGTGTAATATAATAAAGAGGAGAGGTAAGATTATTAATCGGTTAGTTTATTGGCATTGAATAGGCTCCAAAACTACTAGACCGATTGAGCAAGCTAAATCATACGTGGGTGAAGTCGCGGGTAAACAGCTTGTGTTTTATATATAACTATAAATCTTTTAATCTTTACCTTTTAAGTGTCTAACGGAGGTGTGATATCTCTGAACACATTTTACACTAATTATAATGACTTGAAAATAAATAAATAAAAAAACGTTTCTCTTATTGTATTTTTTTTGTCTTTGTTCATTATGTATAGGTATGTCGCAGCCAAGTGGTATAATCAGGCCAATTGTTTATTACTCGATTATTCCGCCAATTATAAATCGATTTTCGAAATTCTTTTTTTATTCGACAGGTTGGTTAATGGGCCGAGTATAACTTCATCGAATCAGTAGTTTTCTTTTTACACCAAAACAAAATTTGCCTTTCCTCTGATATCACCTAAATATGTTGATGTCATGTTTATATGAGCGAAAAACAAAATATTTCTATGTTCAAAACGAGTATCAAGAATAGTATCCTTTTTGTACATAGATTATACTTCAAAGAAGTGTTATGATAAGATTATGACTAATAATTTGAAGTTTTATGAAGGGTATGAAAGTTATCATTAATACGAATATCCTTTTTGTACATAATTTATTATACTCTTAGTTTTAAAAATCCATGTTTTTGAAGTTCCATAGTCAGTAAAGTTGTCTTATATAGTTTACCCTTTTGTTGTTTTGCACCCGATCTTCGTATTAATTCAGTTTTCTTCAGGTTTCTTTTTTTTCTATAGAATTTTTCCAACTGATTGTCCTTTAAGTTCACCACATTCTGGGTAAAGTACTTACCCTGTGACAAGACAGACGTGCGCAGAAATTTCTGCAAATGCTTTAAATGCTATTCCGTTAGTAATACCGCCTATAGCAGGCGCACCAATAGCCAATGTTGTTATTGTATTTAATATATCAAGAAATATTGTTACGGATGAACTAGAATCTTGTTTATTGGCCGTCATCGTTAGATTTTTAGGAACTATTTATTCAATATTTTATTTAATTCACTGATTTTTCGGAGAACGTTTCTTACATTGAATTCTCACTCAGTTTTTTGTTATCTCCGATACTGTCTAAAATTTATGGATGATAAGTAATGGCAATTTTGATATGATAAACAGTGAGTAAACATACACTCGAAAAGTATTACTCTACCGCTGATTCAGTCGGGTAAAAAATATGTTTCTTTTTTTTCTATATAGGTTGTTTATTAGTGGACAGGTGCAATAGGACCCACTTGCGCCCGCTTCTTGCGCCCATGCTAGGTAGGGTTATGGGGACAATGTAACAAGTTTACACTTGTTACATTGTCCCCATTTGTCCTATGCCAGCCATTAACAGATACAGCATCAAGATTGACAATCTCGTTAGAAGTTGCTTATAGGTAGAGTTCTTTAAGATGTTTTTCGTCTTATACACGATCATCTTAAAACATTTGTCATTGACTGTCAAAGTACAATACAAAGTATAAAATGTTATCATTTGGTACTTTTCTCTATTTGTTTTAGATCTAGAGATAGAAATTTGTTCAAGAAATATATATAACCATGTCGTGATACCTAACTACCACTCCCAATGGAGGGTATGGTCAGAAATTTTAGTGGGTGGTAAGAATCCCATCAGGCAGTAGGCATAATGCGTAACGCATTTTACATGAGTCAAAATAGTCAATATCAATGAACATCACGTAAATCTCACCAAAGAACCATTATTTTATTTCTATGGGAAGTCGTCTGAAACTGTTCCATGATAACATAAAGTAGTATTTGGACTGCGTAATGTTTAAGTAGCTACTGTTTGTCGTATGGTTGATTGTTTTTAAGAGGGCAGAATATTCCTAGTAGACGATGATCGTTTTGGATACATAAACAAATGTATTCACCTGACCGGGAATCGAGCCCCGGACCCTAGAGAGCGACATCTTGAAAATTGGTCTATAAACAAACATCCGGCTAAGGAGGTCGTAAATATTTTAAGTTTAGAGACAGCTATTGACAAAGCTAGTACAGATTTAAAGTATATCTGTTTATAAATTATATTTTTAGATTTTTGAAAAGAATTATTAAATTGTAAAGCACCTAATGCTGTCTCACTTTTACCTTTGAAATGTGAGCGGGACTTTAATACTTTATCGCGCATCGAGTTCATCAGTTCACGTATTTTAATTTTAAAGAAATCGTTTCGGAAATATATAAAAGTGGCACTACTTTCAGATACGTTAGTTTTATACATTTTTTCTTTAATACTATATTTTGTGTTAATAACAGTGTATATGTTTTCTTATTGTTTTTACTGTGTTTGAGTAAACTATTACTCTTCAATATAATTTGAAAAAAGTAGTAGAATTGAATTATATAAAAATAATGTTGACGTCTTTTAAACAATTCTTTCTTTATAGCAATAAAGATTATGTAATAAAATATATAATATTAAGGTTTGATAATTATATCAGCATCTTATTGCGTGTAATCAATATGATAAGGGGAGAGCAAGGGGTCTAAAATAAAGGTGAATTAATGTGGAGAGTTGCAATCCCTTTTTCTCGAAATTTAAAAACCGTTTGCAAATTAAGACTATGGGTTGTTGAATTTCGATTCATCAAGGTTGTTTCAACTCATTTCAGTTTAAAACCAGTCAATCTCCCCTATATAAAGAATAAATATCAATTGTAAATAAACAAATGAACGATGATATAAATTAAAACATGAGTTTTATTTTACATTTATTTAGTTTCGATAGTTCCTGAGAAGTTTTTTGTAGAGGGATACTGCATTTAATTTTATTCCCCTACGTATCTCTCTCCCTCTATTACAAAACGTAGTCTTTAATCTGTAACCACAGACAAGGTAACCCGTTTATTATAAATAAAATTTAATCACTTAACCAAGTATCAATTATTATATTAAAGATAGACTCGCGAGAACCCTATTTTGATTGTTTAACTTGATTTTAGATTTATATATGATAGCGTATCCCTCAAAATGGATCGCGCCACAGGAGACAAAAAAAATAAATTTAATGACATTCATGAAGCACTGCAAACGCTTAACGAGTGTAGACTGAGCGCGCTAACCACCGAGTTCCTCCTTCTTTATCTTCATCTATCTGGTTAATATATAAAAAAGTAAACATAATTTTTATCAATATTTCACTTGCAAAAATCAACTTTTAAAAGAACTATCACCAAATGGCTACTGTCACGCAAGTACCGGGAAAGTGAACTACTGCTTGCTACAATAGTCTGAATTTCTTCTGCAGGGAAAGGGCAGTGACGCTTACTACAATTACTAAATTAATACTTCGACTTCACCGTCTCTCATCTTCTTAAGCACACTCCTTCTTTAAACTACACTCCCACTTTAAATATTCATATAATTAGAATACAAAGATTATCTTCGAATTCCTACATGAGTCCTCGCTCAAAGAAAACACACACACACACACCGATTATTTAAATACAAGATAAAGATATGTCAGCAGTAGGTATTCAATTTCTTTAGTTTTAATTTTTAAGTCAATGTAGTGTAAATATTTTCTGCTTTGTTTTTTATTTTTATATAGATAAGACGTTACTCTAATGATATAAACCTCTTTCAGGCTCCAGTCTGTCGCATAATGGTCTATAAATTTACAAAACTAAGATAAGTAGCATTATATTATATTATTTAACTGATTGTATATGGAAGAACAAACAAACGTTATTATATTATAATCTTTTAAAAAAGGAAATACAAAAATAAGTATATTAAACAAATAATTTATTATCAAAAAGCTCAACAATTTTAAAAATAATCTTACGTATATCTTACCAACTATGTATGTACAGTCTCATAAGAAAGGTTAATTCAAGTAAAAATGATGCAAATTTTTCAATATTAAATATTTGATAAAAATGTCTTCAAATTTTTGACTCAGTGTTCAAAATTGAGACATATGTTCTCAGTAAAATTTTAATTAAATCTTTGAAATTAATGTTTATATTTTTATACTTTATAAATACTTTATAAACTATTTGTTTTGAAGAAATAAATTACGGTAAAAAACGAACACAAAATGGAAGTTGTAAGCTCCAACTTGCACTTGTTGATACGTTTCGTTTGAAAATAATTTTATGAATAAATTTAAGATGACGACTATGAAAGTTCGTGAAAGAAGTAAATTTCTAAGACTCTTGTCATATAAAAAAGAGACAAAGGTGTACACAAATAAATCTATTTCAAGAACTTAAAGTTAAATTTCTTTAGTCTATAATTTAATGTTATATCTGAATAGTCTTAATATAATTGTACCCATTTACCATTAAATAAGGTGAAAACTAGAGCAGATGACCCTGTTTCGGCCACTTTGAGAGTTACGACGAAGTGAACTTTGTTACATCAAAGCTGTTAACGCAATAAGTTTTGCTATAATGAAACATTTATATACCGTTCACAGTAAATTAATATAATTGTCTAGGTGTTAGTTTCAAAAGTTCAAAAGGGCCAAAAAGGGACAATTGCCAAAACCTGGTCTTCTGCCCTTTTAACAGTTCTCTCACTTAAATGTACTGTTTCACCCTCTTCTAAATACATTTGTAACGGGGGCCGCCACAATTCCACAAATTGAAATCACTGCTAGAATCACATATGCAATGAAAATATCTGTACCGGAATATAATTTCTCCAATCCCAAAGTGAAAGTTACGAAAACGAATAACACACTTAAACACCCAAAGATTCTATGTCCTGCTTTTGTTAAATTAGATGGTAGAAAACTATTAAAAAACACATGTACACATCCTCCCAATAAAGTGATGATTACGATGACAAATGTAGTTATACCTGAAAATAATTGTTATATTTAATTAGAAACTGTAGCTTTCCTTAAGATAGCTACTCGGTCTACATTTGTTAATCAATGACTTTACAATGAACTGTATGGTGCTAACCTAATGATAGCTTCATTAGGTTGACACCAAATCCAAATAGAAATCCTTTAATGCCATGTTTTTTCATCGTAAAGTAACGTTAACTATGGCTTCAACGTTAACTAACTGAAACCCTGATATTATTACCATGCTGGCAAAACAGCAGATAAACAGAATTGATATGTCCAATTCTAGACCACTGATTGTAAATGATCACGAGATGAATGGATAGCCTGGCTAAGATTTTACAATAACCAAAATGGTACTTATTAGTAGCGAACTTTCCATATATGTATATGACTATAAGGTAACCCAAGAGTGGCTTCGGTAAGAAGTGATTTAATTATAAATTAAGTTTCACATGTAAGCAACTCTTAAGTACATGTGTATATTGAATATATCGCCTAACTGGTAAAGTTTGTTAGAAAATTATTTCCTATTAACAGCTGTTATTTAACAAATGGTTTTGTACAAAGAAATGACGTTAAAAAAATCTGTAATTGATAACGAGAAAACTACATACTTATATCATATTTTTAAGATTTTTGACAAAGTACCTTTTATGAATTTTACTATAATTTTTTGTTGTTTTTTCCCTAAATACTCACCCATAATGCCATGAGCACTTCTGCTCAGGTTATTATTGCTTCGTAGTGACATTCCAACACCAGCACCAGCTATAGCTAAAATGGATCCAATTATTTGCATTGCTATATGTATGTTTCGTTTGTGTTTGTAACTAAATGTTCGAGCCCAACCACCTGTTGGATTTGCAGACATAACACCTTGGCTGATAATAAGAACAAACTGAAAAATAATCAATAAAACTACAATTATCTTAGAATCTGAAAAACATATATGATTCCTAGTAGTTATTCATTAATGTTAACACTATATTCCTAATGGCATATACTTCGGCATAGAATCAGGTCGAAACGGCCATCGATATATAATGACATATTTTAAAATAGAGGTGAGTTTTACAGCGGCGCCCGCTGCAGCTGCGGTGGAACCACAACTTGCTTAGGGCGTAAAATTGTAGGTAACGGATATTAGCAAATTTGATGACGCAATTTACGCCCGTTGTGTGTACAGTTATGGTCTTAGAAAATTCAATTATCGTTTTTTAATTAGAGGATTGTGAGTGTGTAACACAATAGTGAACTTTTTTGAATAAAACCTTGTTAAATAATACAAATTATTTTTGTAGCATCTGGCAACGTACATATCAATGAGACCTAAAAGATAGCTTTTTGAACGCCAAAATGAAACTGTATGTGAAACGTTAATACTATCGTAGAAGCTTGAGTTTTGAAATAATCGATATTAACAGCCGGTTTCTGAATTAAGAAAAATACAAAATCTCAACTGATTAATCTCAATAACTTAAGTTTTTTACGTTTTAGAAGTTTACATGCATTGAATAGGTTCCGAAACTGCTGGACCGTTTTTCCAAATGGTGAAATCGTGCTGTATACAACTTTAAATCTTTTAATCTTTAGCTTTTGAGGCAGTGTCTAACGTAGGTTGATATATCTGGACACATTATACACTAATTAGATTTCATTTACTTCATTCTTTAGATACAAACAAGCTTGTAGTCCTTATATCATACAGGTAACAAGGTTACCAACTAATAATATTGCTGAGATTTTCATCTAAATAGAGCTGTTTATTATACTTTTAATTGTTATTATGCCTTAATGTAAGGGCGATTCATCATCATCATCATCATCAGCCGGAAGACGTCCACTGCTGAACATAGGCCTCCCCCTTTGAACTCCACGACGGACGACATTGCGCCAGCTGCATCCAGCGGCCGCCCGCGACTCGGACGATGTCGTCCGTCCATCTAGTCGGGGGTCGACCCACGCTGCGTCTTCCGGTTCGTGGTCTCCACTCGAGAACCTTTCGTCCCCATCGGTTATCGGTTCGTCGAGCGATGTGGCCTGCCCACTGCCACTTCAGCTTACAAACTTTGCGAGCTATGTCGGTCACTCTAGTTCTTTGGCGAATGTCCACGTTTCGGATCCTATCGCGCAAAGAAACCCCTAACATAGCTCTCTCCATGCCTCGCTGAGCGACTCTGAGCTTCTCTAAGAGGCCAGCAGTTAAGGACCACGTTTCAGTGCCATAGGTCATCACTGGCAACACACACTGGTTATACACCTTCGTCTTTAGGCACTGTGGTAATTTGGACGTGAAGATATCGCGTAGCTTCCCGAACGCTGCCCAGCCGAGTTGGATTCTTCGAGCGACCTCTTTGTCGAAATTGGATCTACCTAACTGGATTGTCTGTCCAAGGTACACGTAGTGATCGACAACTTCGAGAGTATCAGTTCCAATGACCACCGGTACGGGTGCAACATGGACATTCGACATGATTTTCGTCTTGTTCATGTTCATTTTAAGACCCACCTGTTTGGAAACGATACTCAGGTCGCTGAGCATTGTACTGATGTGCTCCATCGATCTTGCCAAGATGACTATATCATCGGCGAAACGAAGGTGAGTGATGTATTCGCCATTGATGTTGATGCCGTATTCGCCCCATTCCAAGAGCTTGAAGACGTCCTCCAATGCATTCGTGAACAGTTTCGGAGAAATGACATCTCCCTGTCTCACGCCTCTGCGCAATTGGATTGGTTTCGTGCTCTCTTCCTGGTAGCGAATCGACATTGTGGCGTTGCTATACAAACGCTTCAACACTTCGACGTACCTGTAGTCGATTTGGCATCGTTGGAGGGACTGCAGTACTGCCCAGGTTTCGATTGAATCGAAGGCTTTCTCATAGTCCACAAACGCTAAGCAAAGTGGCAAATTATACTCCTCGGTCTTCTGTATAATCTGCCGCAGCGTATGTATGTGGTCTATGGTGCTAAAGCCTTTTCGGAAACCGGCTTGTTCGGGAGGCTGGAAGTCATCAAACCGGCGTTCGAGACGATTCGTAATGACCCTCGAAAACAGCTTATAAACGTGGCTCAGAAGCGAGATTGGTCTATAATTCTTCAACAAGGTCTTGTCACCTTTTTTGAAGAAGAGCACAACCACGCTTCTGTGCCACGCTTCTGGCGTCGTACCCTCGAGAATGACGGAATTGAACAATTTCTGGAGGACTAAGAGTACCGGTTTTCCACCCGCTCGCAAAAGTTCAGTAGTGATTCCGTCATCCCCCGGTGCCTTGTTGTTCTTCAGCTGTTTGAGTGCCATTCTAATCTCGTACAGGCTGATGTCTGGGATATCCTCGGTGTGATGTCGGGTCAGCTTTGCTCTGGTGTCCTGAGCATTGCTTTCAACGGGTTGTTGTGATGATGTGTACAACTGTCCATAAAACCTCTCAAGCTCAATCAGAATCTCCGGTTTTGAAGATACGATCCTGCCGTCGTCGATCTTCAGCTTCGTCATCTGACTCGACCCAGCAGACAAATTTCGTGCAAACACTTTGGAGCCTTGGTTCCGCTCTATTGCCTCCCTAATACGTGTAGTATTATAGGAGCGCAGATCGCGTCGCATCGATTTGGAAATTCGTCTGTTAAGTCGACCATATTCCGACATATCGGTTGAAGATTGCAGTCTCATATCCCTCCGGTCCGCCATCAACTTGAGCGTTTCGTCTGAGAGCTTTTGAGATTTAATACGGCGCGGGGCCTTATAGAACTTAGACCCCACAGCTTGGACTGTTTCTACAAACCCGTTGTTTATTTCGTCCACAGACTCGCATTCAGCTAGACACTGAAAGCGATTGTGTAGTTGGAGTTGGAAGGCTTCGGGGTCCATGATATGAGCAGCACTAGGACGGAGCGTAGACTTCATCAGACGTGACCTTTCGAGCTTAACATTGATATTCAATGTGCCTCTAACGATTCGGTGATCGCTACCGGTTTTCACCCTGCTGATCACGGAGACATCATTGAATATGTGCTTTCTGGTTGTCATGATGAAGTCGATCTCATTTTTTGTCGAACCATCAGGGCTCATCCAGGTCCACTTCCTGGAGGGTCTCTTCTGGAAGAAGGAGTTCATCGCAAAGAGTCCCTCCTTCTCCATGAAATCGACCAGCTTCTGGCCCCGGTGGTTGCGCCGCCCATAAAATCGAATATTATAAAAATAAAGAAATAAGTCCAAAAATAAACGCCTTGTGATTATGTATTCATCTTCGTTTTCGTCAGACTCTGAAGGAAATGAAGGGAAGCTAAATATTTCCCTGTGATGATGTGATATTTCAATAAAGTATATATACATTCAATATATATATTCAACGATGGGTTCCTATTTTGAGAGAAGGATTAAAAAAGGAAGCAAAAGATAAGCTTCTCAAGGAATATTTAGCTCCCGAAAATTGTAGTTTACTTGAAGCACTCACTTTAAACACTGAAATCTCAGCGACGGTTGCTGACATTATTGGAAAACGTGGCAAAAATATTTTGTTGAAACAAGACCAACTCGGACAAGCCATTGTTGCCGTTTATAAAGTGATCACTTTATTACTCTTAGGAGATGATAAATAACAAGCTGTCAAAATCCTCACAGACGGGTGCAAAATACTTACGGATTTATATTTTATCGAGATTCAAGTCAGAATCAAACTTGTGAGTGAGAAAAAAGTGAGAAAGATTTTTTATGTTGTGGCTTACACAACATGAAAAATCTTTCTCACTTTTTTAAAATCAAGACGGGGACGATACACAGTGACTTAGCGTTCAAAATGATAGTTAATAAAATTAGCAAGTAGATATAGATTTGTTCTTGCAATAATGCTAAATGTAACAATTTTGTTTCATAGGAACCGGACCCGGACGCCCTTAGAAGATGCTTTTACTGTTTCGTGGAACTCGTTTTTCTACGCATTCTTTCCTTTCTCATTATTTTGAAGTGTCTACAAAAAAATCATTAACGAAAAAGCAATTCATATTTTAGGTTTAACTTAACGTTCCAACTTATTATGGAACATTCTGTGTTAACCTATGGCACCTATGAGGGTGTCTAACTTATGATTTGACATAACTAACTAATAAAGGACTACAAGTGTGTTTATATCTTCAAACGAATGACTTCATATAATAATGATCGAAATGTCACTTTGAAGTTCGTTTGATCATCTATTATAATGGCAAATAAATAAGTAAAAAAAATTTTTTTTTTCTACTGTATTTCATCAAATTTGCATAATGCGCTAAATACTGCACGATAGAGCAAGATATAATTTAAGTAAACTATTGAAACAAATTTAGAATTTCACTTGCATTTTCAATTTAGCGCTAGTGTTTAGATGAGAGGCAGTTAGTAGTTAGTAATGAATTAAATACTTACCCCAAATGTGACAAGGAAGATGTGAGCAGAAAATTGTGTAAATGTTTTAAATACTATTCCGCCAGTAATACCGCCCATAGCAAGCGCACCAATAGCCAATGTTGTTATTGTATTTAATATATCAAGAGTTTTTGTTAAGGGTGAACTAGAATCTTGTGTAGTGGCCGTCATTGTGAGGTTTTTAGAAATTGTTTAATTGAATTGAATTTGAATTTGATTTGAATCACTGATGTTTCGGACAACGTTACTGATACTGAATTCTCACTCAATTGTTTGCTATCTCCGATACTATCTAAAATTTATGGATGATAAGTTATGGCAAGTTTGATATGATAAGCATTGAGTAAAAGGATAACGTCATTATTCAATGGTGTGTATTCAACAGTAAAGACAAAATATAAAAGGAAAAAAGCAATTTTTCGTTTCCTACACTAGTAATCACACTCGAAAAGCTTTACTCTACCTCTAATTCAGTTAGGTTAAAAAATATTTTTTTTTTCTATATAGGTTCAGTATAAGTGGACAGGGAGTGCAATAGAACTCACTGGCTGGTGCCAACAGTAGGTAGGGTATGGTATAAAATTGAGAAGTAATACTTATCTTAAAAGCACATTTTATTATTATAGCTATTGAAGTCCGGCGGCTATCATTTAACAACCTACAGAAAACCTCCTACCGGTTTGGACACGAATTCAGATCTCATTACTAAGAGTGTAATTGTCGTCAATAATGATGCTATCTTAATACAATTATTAGACCTTAATGAGTTTAGTTCACGACCTAGGCGATTTGGATGTTGACATATGAGTCGTGCTGTGGTCAAATTAGAAGCTATTCCGAGATTGATCGCCGTAGACAAGTAGCACAATATGTTGTTTAAGTAGCCCATTACAGTAACAACGCATTGTTCGCTGCACAAACAACTCAATATCCGTTATACCTACAAGATTTACAAAGCTCACCAGTAATTGAAAACAATCGTTTAGATAAGCTGTTTATATTTTAAGCTTAAAGATATCTTTATTAAAATTAAATATGAAACAGCTTTCGATAGTAAGATAGTATATAAAATACTTTTAAATATAAAAATACATCATTTATTATTTTTGTTAAATAAAAAAAATTAAGCTTTCCAGTTTCTAAAATAATCCTAACATTGGTAATGGTTGTTATAAAACAATAGCTCCAATCCGAACTATATAAAAGAAAAATATATTTAAATTGCATATTAATTGGTCTGTTTCATTAATTGATTATGTATTGTGATAGATTTAATGAGATTTTTGAATTAATTTCCAATTTAAAAAATAATGACAGAGCCAGCACTTTTTAAGTCGATATCACTAGAAAAATCGGGCCAGAAGTATGTAGTTTAAAAATACATCAGTTTTATATACCTATTAACTTTGTTACAATATACAATGTCAGTTATAGAGTCATGTATAGAATGCTAATTTGTTGGAATTTTTAAAAAGTTGTTCTCAAAATATAATTTATACTTATTATATATAAATTATACAGTTGCGTCTATGTTATTAGTGTTAGCTTTTTTTTGTCTTAGAACTCCATATTGTCTCAAAATCTAACCAAATTGCCAAATTGCCAATTTAAACTTCACTCCCACTTTAAATAATCATATAATTAGAATACAAAGATTTTCTTCGAATTCCTACATGAGTCCTCGCGCAAAGAAAACACACACACACACCGATTATTTAAATACAAGATAAAGATATGTCAGCAGTACTTATTCAATTTCTTTTGTTTTAATTTTTAATTCAATGTAGTGTTAATATTTTCTGCTTTGTTTTTTATTTTTATATAGATAAGACGTTACTCTAATGATATATACAGGTTTACATAAAAACCTCTTTCAGGCTCCAGTCTGTTGCATAACGGTCTATAAATTTACAAGACTAAGATGAGTAACAGTATATTATATTATTTAACTGACTGTATATGGAAGAACAAACGAACTTTATTATATTATATTCTATTAAAAAAGGAAATAAAAAAATCAGTATATTAAAAAAATAATTTATTATCGAAAAGCTCAACAATTTTAAAAATAATCTTACGTATATCTTACCAACTATGTATGTACAGTCTCATAAGAAAGGTTAATTCAAGTAAAACTGATGCAACTTTTTCAATTATAATTATTTGATAAAAATGTCTTCAAATTTTTGATTCAGTGTTAAAAATTGAGAGATAAGTTCTTACAAAAACGGTAAAATTTTAATTAAATATTTGTAATTAATGCTTTATATAACTATTTGTTTTGAAGAAATAGATTACGGTAAAAAACGAATATAAAATGGAAGTTGTAAGCTCCAATTTGCATTTGTTGATACGTTTCGTTTGAAAATAATTTTATGAATAAATTTAAGATGACGAATATGAAATTTATTTCCTGTGAAATTCTAAGACTCTTGTCATATAAAAAAGAGAAGTGTACGCAAATAAATATATTTCAAGTACTAAAAGTTAGATTTATTTAGTCTATAATTTTATATTATATCTGAATAGTCTTAATATAATTGTACCGATTTACCATTAAATAAGGTGAAAACTAGAGCAGATGACCCTGTTTCGGCCACTTTGAGAGTTACGACGAAGTGTAATTTGTTACATCAAAGCTGTTAACGCACTTAGTTTTGCCATAATGAAACTTTTATATACCATTTACGGTAAATTAATATAATAGGGATGATGACTCGGTCAGATAATAGAACAATATTAGATACTTTTTTTTAAAATTCAATTTAACAAGAAATAGCTTAGATAACCGGCATTTAAGTTGAGGAGTGGGGGCTCGCTACGCCACAGTTGAGTAGAAAACGTTCCCTAACGTGACGTCATGCGAAATTTCAACTCAATGTAACGCCGTAATTTTATGATTACGAAAAAAAATACGTGTTTAGTATTTTAAAACACTCTACCTGACGAACAAACAAACAAAAAATAGTCATCATCCCTATTGTCTATGTGTTAGTTTCACAAGTTCAAAAGGGCCAAAAAGGGACAACTGCCAAAACCTGGTCTTCTGCCCTTTTAACAGTTCTCTCACTTAAATGTACTGTTTCGCCCTCTTCTAAATACATTTGTAACGGGGGCCGCTACAATTCCACAAATTGAAATCACTGCTAGAATCACATATGCAATGAAAATATCTGTACCGGAATATAATTTCTCTAATCCCAAAGTGAAAGTTACAAAAACGAATATCACACTATTAAACCCTAAGATTCTATGTCCTGCTTTTGTTAAATTAGATGGTAGAAAACTATTTAAAAACACATGTACACATCCTCCCAATAAAGTGATGATTACGATGACAAATGTAAATATACCTGAAAATAATTATTATATTTAATTAGAAATTGTAGCTTTCCTTAATATAGCTACTCGGTCTACATTTGTTAATCAACGACTTTACAATGAACTGTATGGTGCCAACCTAATGATAGCTTCATTAGGTTGACACCAAATCCAAATAGAAATCCTTTAATGCCATGTTTTTTCATCACAAAATAACGTTAACTATGGCTTCGACGTTAACTAACTGAAACCCTAATATTATTACCATGCTGACACTTGTCAGATGCTCAGATCAACCATCAGCAGATAAAACAGAACTGATGTGTCTATTTCTAGACCACTGACTGTAAATGATCACGAGATGAATGGATAGCCTGGCTAAGATTTTACAATAGCCAAAATGGTACTTATTAGTAGTGAACTTTCCATATCTATGACTATAAGCTAACCCAAGAGTAGCTTCGGTAAGAAGTGATTTAATTACAAATTAAGTTTCACATGTAAGCAACTCTTAAGTACATGTGTATATTGAATATTTCGCCAAACTAGTAAAGTTTGTTAGAAAATTATTTCCTATTAACAAGCTGTTATATAACAGATGATTTTGTACAAAGGAATTACGTTAAAAAAATCTGTAATTGATAATGAGAAAACTACATACTTATATCATATTTTGAAGATTTTTGACAAGGTGCATTTTATAAATTTTACTATAATTTTTTGTTGATTTTTCCCTAAATACTCACCCATAATGCCATGAGCACTTCTGCTCACGTTATGATTGCTTCGTAGTGACATTCCAACACCAGCACCAGCTATAGCTAAAATGGATCCAATTATTTGCATAGCTATATGTATGTTTCGTTTGTGTTTGTAACTAAATGTTCGAGCCCAACCACCTGTTGGATTTGCAGACATAACACCTTGGCTGATAATAAGAACAAACTGAAAAATCATCAATAAAACATTAATTATCTTGGAATCTGAAAAACGTATATGATTTCTAGTAGTTATTCATTAATATTAACACTATAGTCCTAATGGCATATACTTCGGCATAGAATCAGGTCAGAACGGCCACCACGTATATGATTTCTAGTAGTTATTAATTGATGTTAACACTATATTCCTAATGGCATATTCTTCGGTATAGAATCAGGTCGAAACGGCCACCGATATATAATGACATATTTTAAAATAGAGGTGAGTTTTACAGCGGCGCCCGCTGCAGCTGCGGTGGAACTACACCTTGCTTAGGGCGTAAAATTGTAGGTAACAAACATTAGCAAATTTGATGACGCAATTTACGCATGTTGTGTGTAGAGTTATGGTCTTAGAAAAATCTCGCGGAATTCCTGTATCAGCGGGAACTCGTAGAATCGGAGGGTCGCGTTCGGCCGCATTTTTTAGTGCCGATCAAAATGAATCGTACCACACATAATCTATAAAGCTCTCGCTGCTGAATGAACTGGATGCACCCAAAATCTTTTAGGCCTTGCTTTTTATGTGACAGAAAATTCAATTATCGTTTTTTAATTAGAGGATTGTGAGTGTGTAACACAATAGTGAACTTTTTCGAATAACACCTTGTTAAATAATACAAATTATTTTTGTACCTTCTGGCAACGTACATATCAATGAGACCTAAAAGATAGCTTTTTGAACGCCAAAATGAAACTGTATGTGAAACGTTAATACTATCGTAGAATCTTGAGTTTTGAAATAATCGATATTAACAGCCGGTTTCTGAATTAAGAAAAATACAAAATCTCAACTGATTAATCTCAATAACTTAAGTTTTTTACGTTTTAGAAGTTTACATGCATTGAATAGGTTCCGAAACTGCTGGACCGACTTTCCAAATTCTTTCACCTATGACAAGCTAAATCATACAATGGTGAAATCGTGGGTAAACAGTTTGTGTTTTATATACAACTTTAAATCTTTTAATCTTTACTT